CATAAAATAACATTGGATTTACTTTAGACCACATGGTCATTTGCTGTGCTAATTTTTTATAAGTTCATATATGTTGTTAGTTACTTAACTGTTTATACAAGATCAGCGTATTATGTCCATTTACTTAGTTTCATTCACATGTGTGTTAATAACATTGACTGCTACATATCTTTTTAAGGTAACAATTAACATCGTTTCCATGATTGTGTGGTTCTCATATTGTAAAATTTTTTAGATGAACTGATGATGCTTTCAAAACTCGAAGGCGAAACGTCTTCAAAATAGATAAAGTAGCCTATCAACTTTGTCTTTTATTTCTCCACCTAGAGACCGATATAAGAACCCACCACTCGTCTGAGTGATCCTTATCCTATATATATATAACGATGTTAGGAGTTAGTTTTAGTTGATAAGAGAGTACCGAACTGTAAACTATAAATAAATATATTTATATTACTTAGAACTAATAGGGCTGAAATACTGCGGAAAACCAGCAGGATGCTGTTCAGTCATAACATGCTTCCTGTATGACTGCAGTATGACCGAGATAGTAGTATACAAGAGATAGCTTCTATGAAAAAACGGTACTACAGAACAATAGGGACATATGCCATTTTTCAAAGTAAAACACGTGCACGTCATGATTTATACAAAGTGACGTCACTTGTATTTAAAATTTCCAGAACATCAACCTTAGAGTTGAAATGTTCCTAACACAGCTAATAATACGAAACCCATACGGAACTGCTCGATCTTTCATAGGCGTCAACATGATGTAATAACCAGAAAAATGTAATCATCGTTAGATATGAAATTTTAGAATTATATTGATTAAATAACCAAAAACATTTGTTATTATTAATGATAATAAATTTTATGAAATAACTCTTTAAGTCTAATAATTTTAATTAAATATATTAGATAATTGCACGCAACTCATACAGATACTTCAATTTTTATTGACAGTTAAGCGTGTGGCAAAAGTGTATAAAGTGTTAACGCTTTTTTAGAGTAGGAATTTTGTTTATGTTTTAATTTCTTACACAATTTGATCATAATATAATATATATTAATAAATTGTATTTATAAATACATATTAAATTTAGATTAATAGCTTTTTTCAACGCTGTGGGGTTCTGACGACGTAAATCTTGAATGATGTGCAAGCTTTTTTATATGAAAAATGTGAAAAAAGTGCAGATGAACGAAGGGAGCAAGTGCTGTGTTGTGTGATAGAAAAAACTTTCAACTAAAATGAAAAATAAATTTTATATCGACTATACTTACCGATCTATAAGGAAACCTCCAATAATATTCAATACAACATTCGGCCAAGAATATACTGAATATAAAGAGGTATATTGTACCTCAGATAAATCTAGGTTGTCTTTTATTTTATCTTGTAAGGCAGCAGGGTTATCATAACAAAAATAGGAACCTGAAATTGAAAAATAATATAATATTTCTCAAGTGATCACTTGAGAAAGGCAATCAGCCGAAACAGCTGTAGTGATAATATTTAAAATAAATTTTGTGGAAGTTTGAAAACAAAGTTTTCAGTGTTTTATTGTTACATAAAATGAATTTCCATCAAGTAACGGTCGAATCCATCAATTACATAAAAATATACAGAGTATTTCATTAAAAATAAGGATTATGGACTATGCCAGACTTACGTGTATCACTCTGTACATTTCAATTTATGTTGTAATTATGTGTTCAATGTGTTATGTGTTCAACTAGTAAATAAACATGATTATTATATTTGGTAGCATGTATTGCGGAAATTTCGTACTTTATCGATGAATTGTATATTTAACGCATCATCGCATGCATCATCGAGACCTTTCATTCTTTGTGGAATGTTTGCCGCTCTTACTTAGAGCTCTTTGTCTCGTGTATTAATTTCGGTTTGTGTATAGGTCCCTCTATTTCTCACATTCAGAATTTTGATATCTCTCATGGCCTGGTCCTATGATGGTTCTTGATATCTCCCTCTAGATCTTATCCTCGGACTTTCAGCTTCTGGCTTCTATCGGCTAGCCTTCATAATCAGTACGTCGTTTTTCCTTCTCTCTATGTGTCCCAGCCATCTCAGTCTCTGCGCTTTAATAAAACTAATTATATCTTTATTCTTTATGGCCCTTTTTCTGGTTCATTATTTTTCTCATTTCTTAGTTTTCCATTCTTATCGGTCCTCTTCTGAGGATTTCCCTTTCGAATATTCTTAATCATTCTTCATCTTTATCTTTGAGGCACATTGTCTCAGCTGCGTATGTAACTACTGATCCGATTGCAACTCTATAGTTTCAGATTTGTATTTTTGGATAATCTCTTGTCCTTCATTAGCCTATTGTATCTCCAGTATGTTTTGTTGCCTGCTAATATTCGCTCCATACCTTCTTCACTTCTCTTATTTTTGCCATTGACAATTACTCCCAAATATTTAAATTGTTGAATACATTCAGTTTTCTATTTTGATTTCTTTAGTCTCTTTATCTTCTCTTCTAGAGCAGATTAGATATTTTGTTTTTCCTTCGTTAATTTCAAGACCTGTTAAATGTGCTTCATTTGCCAGGATTTTTAATGCTTCTGTTAGTTTTTCCTTACCTTTTCCCATAAGAACTATGACATCTGCATATGTTACATTTGTGTTGAGAAAAGGGCTATAGTTCCTTTAATCCCACTGGTCTTGACAGTTCCTTCTACTGCCTGTTGAATAGTGTGTTTGATAGGAAATCGCCTTATCGCACTCCTGTTTCTATTGTGTTTGTGATCCTTGCTTCTGTTGTTGTTTTAACTCGGAATCCATCCATAGTCATTTTTGATAACCTGACTAGTTTTGCCGGTTAATCTTGATTTTTCATTTCATTAAATAATTTATTCCTTCCAATTCAGTCAAAGGCTTGTCTAAAGTCTACGAAGAGGGTGTGTGGAGAGGATGTTGTGTTCGTGGTGTTTCTCGATTGTTTGGGTAATTATGTGGATCTGCCTTCTCTGAATCCTTACTGGTAGTCCCCAATTTTTTACTTTGTGAATTGAGTGAGTTTTTGTCAGATGAGGGCTGTTAGAATTTTGTATTTGTACTCAGTAGATTTATTCCTCTATAGTTGTTACAATCTGTTACCTCTCCTTTTTTAAATATTGGTATAATTCTACTTTCTTTCCAGTCCTCGGACATTTCTTCTTCTTTACATATTCTAGCTATTAGGTTGTAGATGTTTGTTAATATTTTTCCTCTTCGTTCTTAATCAGATCGTTGTCCACTGCCACTGGACTGCATTACTATGCTCTTCTAGGTCCTGTGTTATTTGCTTCTGTTAGATTTTCCTATAGGGTTGTCTTATATTACACTCTTAGTTCCTGTACTCTTATATATATATATATATATATATATATATATATATATATATATATATATATATATATATATATATATATATATATATATATATATATATGTATATATATATATATATATATACGAAGAATGATCACAGCTGTCCAATTATTAATTAGTATAATGGTAAGGTTAAGCTGCTAATCCAATTAACCTTACCATTATATATATATATATATATATATATATATATATATATATATATATATATATATATATATATATATAATATATATATATATATATATATACAAGGTTCTTGAACTCCTAAGTGGAGCATAGAGCTTCAGTGAAAACGCGCCATCGGGTTCTATTTTGCGCTAAGGCCTTCACCTCATTCCAAGACTTTCCTTGTTTTCTTATCTCGTCCATGATGGATCTTCTCCAAGTTTGTACTGGGCGACCTTTTTTTCGTTTTCCTTGGGGATTCCACTCTAGGGCAGTCTTTCCAATTCTGTACCTCCGCTTTCTGTTATGACACTTCCAAGATACGTAAAGTTTTCCACATTTTCAATCTGCATGTTATTAATGGTGAATAGCGTGTTGTTTCTTGCATTTATTCTCATGGATTTGGTTTTACCAATATTGATTTTCAAACCTATTTTATTGGCTTCAGTGGAAAGTGTTTCCAATTGGTCAGCCACATCTTGGAACCTTTGTCCTAACAGGCAGATATCGTCGGCGTATTCTAGATCGCTTAGGCGTGTGGTTAACGTCCATTGTATCCCTCTTGTGTCAGAGTCTAGTTTGGAGAGAACATAGTCTAGAGCTATGTTAAAAAGAAACGGAGAAAGCACGCATCCCTGTCTGACTCCAGTAAGTACGTCAAATTCGTCACTGTTGATCCCATTGTGTGTCACGCTGCATTTCGCTTCAGTGTACAGTAACTTTATAATGGAAATTATTTTATGCGGGATGTTTCTTAGCTCTAAAATTTTCCATATCGTATCATGAGATAAGCTGTCAAAAGCACGCTCGAAATCAACAAAAACCATGTATAGGGGTGTGTTCCATTCAACCGATTGTTCCATTATTAGCCTCACAGTATTAATGTGGTCTATGCAGGAGGAATCTGGTCTAAAGCCTACTTGATTAGCTCGAAATTCAACCTTGTTTGTTAATCTTTTAAGTATGATGGTCGTGAAGTTTTTATTTATGGCGGTAAGCAAGGTTATTCCTCTCCAATTTTTGCATAGTGTGAGGTTGCCCTTTTTTGGAAGCTTAATAATGATGCCTTTTTTCCAGCCCGCTGGAATGCGGTTTGTTTCCCACACCTCTCGGATTATGGGGAGCAAAAGTTCAGCAGTTAGCAGTTAGCTGACCGTACTCTTAACTTCTCCAAATTCCATCTTATTTTGTTTTGCCTTGTTCTTTTAATTTTAATTATCTTCATTTGTATTCCTCCAATTACTAGAAAATGGTCGGTGTCCGCGTTTGCCCCTCTATAAGATCTAACGTAATGCACTCGTATTTTCCATTTTTGAACATAAGTATGTAATGTACTTTTAATTACTAATCCTTATTCGATCAATTTTATGATTTGAGAGCATATCTATAACTTTTTTAAAGATAAATACATGTTCTGATTTTTGCGTCATATCCACAATTTAAAAAACAAAAGCAACATTTGCACTAAACGTTATTGTAGTCAAATAAGTGATAAATCAGTATCTAGAATTATGCTGATTATAATCAAAAATCACTTTCTGAGTACATAAATAAATAATGGGTAATAAAAAATAACACACAACTTTGTATGAATATAAGAGGAAAAGTTTCTAAGTAGGAAATATTCATTTATACGTTATCAAGTCTTCATTAGATGAAGCAGAATCACAAATCTACAGTTAGTGGCATAACTTCAGTCCCTATGTTATATGGTTAGTTGATCTGCGAGTGTTTATTTGGTTATACTATATTCACATCTGTCCTATGGTCTTATATATCCGTAGGACGTTCCCTACTAGTCATTGAAACATGCCACATCTCGTCGGAGATGTGAATTTTTCCAGCCAGTCTGTGATGCGTGTCAAACTCAAACTCACAGTCTCAGACCGGCACGAACCTCTACTGGACCGTACAAAATATACTCTTTCTGGACATTCCGTACATAATATTTAAGTGACAAAATAGTTCTGAATCTATTTTTTCTGATGTTTTTAAGATGGGATCAAACCACAATTAAATATCATTAAAAGTACATTTTTTATTTAGTTTTGATATTTCCAAGCGGAAATTGTTTTAAAAAAATTCTGAAATTAACATTACGCAAATCTTTCAACCTTTTCACAATTTTTTTGTAAATGGTTTCCTGATTGGAAATCGAAACGTCAAAGCTAATTAAAAAATGTGGTTTAATCCCACCTTAAAAATATCAAGAGTGATAGTTTTTCAAGATAACCGATGAAACAAAAAGCACTTTTTAAGGTTAAGCGTTTCTACAAATTGATTAAATTTAAATAATGACTGTTATCTCTTAAATTAATCTAAACAATGAAATTTGTTTATTATAAATAATTTATGAACAAGTAAAACTGATACGATATTTCAAAGGTAATTGTATTTCGTAAACTTTCTCAGTTTTTTTGCACTTGTAGCTTGAAAACATTGTTTAAAAATCGCACAAAAGCATTTACCTTTTACCTATTGTCAGGCTAAACTTTTCTTGATGCCATGAAGAATAAATAATACGTTCTTCTTCTTCTAGTTCCATGACCGTTATCCATCGTTGGATATTATATTGGCTACCATATTCGCTTTCGTAACTTTACTGCCAGCAGCTCTAAATAATGATGTAGTCAATTTTTCGTACCATTGTCTCAGATTTTTCAGCCATGATACTCTTCTACCAGGACCACATTTACCTTTAATCTTCCCCTCAATAATCAGTTGCAAAAGTTCATATTTTTCAGGCTGTCTTATAATGTGACCGAAGTACTCTAGCTTGCGTCTCTTTATTATATCAACCAGTTGTGTTGTTTGGTTCAGCCGTCTAAGGACCTCCTCATTTCTAACTCTGTTGGCCCAGCTTATTCTTA